GCTGAGATCGCGCCTCTGTACTCCAGCCAAGGTGACAGTGAGACCCTGTCTCAAAAAAAAAGAAAGAAAGAAAAATCAAGGTCAAAACTGGTTTGCATTAAATGTTTTCTAATAACTGTAATAACTGTATTTCATGAGAGAAGTAAAAATAGTAAAAGAATCTTGAATACCTACAGTATATCAGGCATTGTACTAGGTGATTTACAGGTATTATCTCATTTAGATCTCATTTAATCTGTAAAAGGAGGTATTCATTTTACAGATTAAGAAACACAGGTTCTGATATATTAAGTGTATGGCTTGTCTTGCATAACTTGTCAGAGCTCAGACATGAACCACGATTTATTTCAGTCAAAACCCATAGTCTTTGCAGTAAAGCCTATGTTTAAGCATGTCTATGGACTGATCACACCGGTAATCTCAGCACTTTCAGAGGCCATAGTGGGAGGATCGCTTGAGGCCAGGAGTTCAAGACCAGCCAAGCCAACATAGTAAGACTTCATCTCTACAAAAAATTATTTAAAAAACAAAAAAGCACATCCAAGTATTAGAGGGTCAGTCACCATAGTATATAAAAGTATGCCTTTGGTCTCAGACTGAGTTCACATTCTGTCTCTTCAACTTAATAAGTACGGCAAATTATTTAATCTCTCTGTCCCTCCTTTCCCTTATCTATAAAATGGTGATAAATAATAGTATGTATTTTGTGGGTGGTTATGATTAAGGAATATAAATCAAATAAAGTGATTATTATACTACAATGCCTTATTCATTGAATACCTTTATAAAACCTATTCATGATAGAAAATACTATTAGAAATGCTGTTTGAAATTGGTTTTATAGCATATATGAATTTAGAAAAAAACTTCTTATATAACTTTTACAGAAAAAACTAGGCTCTGGGTAGATATAAAGTCCTATGTAGATACTTCGTGGAATGAGCTTGTTTCTTAGCATTTTATCTGACATGACCTCAAAGTTTCAGCTTCAATTTTTTTTTTTTTTTTCGATGCAGTCTCGCTCTGTTGCCCAGACTGGAGTGCAATGGTGCGATCTCGGCTCACTGCAACCTCTGCCTCCCGGGTTCAAGCCATTCTCCTGCCTCAGCCTCCCGAGTAGCTGGGACTACAGGCGTCCACCACCATGCCCGGCTAATTTTTTGTATTTTTAGTAGAGGCAGGGTTTCACCATGCTGGTCAGGCTGGTCTCAAATTCCTGACCTTGTGATCTGCCTGCCTCGGCCTCCCAAAGTGCTGGGATTATAGGCATGAGCCACCGTGCCCGGCCCAGTTTCAGCTTCATCTTAATTCTAATTTCTACTATGCTTTGTGACCTAGCATACCTTTTCAATCAAACTTTTTATCTCTAAGTACAGTAACATATCTTAAACTGGCTCTTTGGTTTCATTTTAGATGGTATCTCCAACATGGATGATAAACTAGAAAGAGTTCTGGTCAGGCAATCTGGATAGAGAAGCTAAGCAACATTGTACCTTCTAAAGTCATTTTCACACTTATATATTAAACACTCAGATTTATATAACAAGATACATTAAAGAAACAATGATTAAAAATATATAACCACTACACTCCATTAACAGAGATAATTAAGTTGAACATACTTAAGAATACATTGCTTTTGTGAGGATTAAAATCTAATGTTAAGCTACCAATTCATATTCACCTGAATCTTATTTAATAATAAATTTATACTCATGAATGACATTATTAACTGTCAGTCTGATGATGTTCAAGCTATTTCAGTTACCCAGACAGGTCTATAACTTACTCTAAACGTCTGGCACTTACAGACACACACACACACACACACCTTATACACATCTAGATGTGTATAAGAGACAGGGTTATGATTAAGGAATATAAATCAAATAAAGTGATTATTATACTACAATGCCTTATTCATTGAATACCTTTATAAAACCTATTCATGATAGAAA